TCGGGCGGAGCCGGCGGGGCCTGCGGGGCTCCGGGCTGGTTACAGCAGCTGAACCCCTCACAACTCAGACATGGCAGCCCAGAAGGATCAGCATAAAGATGCCGAGGCGGAAGGGCTGAGCGCCACGTGAGCTACCCGGCTCCAGTCACCCTGACCCGAGACCCGGGAGTCCAGTCTCCCTCTCTCTCGAATCCCGGGAGTCCCACCCCTCAGTCAGAAGTCTACTCCTCGGGTCTCCTCTTCAGGAACCCTGGAGTTGGGTCCCCAGCCCCGTCCTGCGCTGGTACCCAGGAATCCTGGCTCCGTCCTGGGACCCGTCCCTCCTGGACCCCGGAGTCCAGTCCCGGTTACCCCATTATTCCCCGCGGGTCTGGTTGTCCATCCCAATCTGCCGCCGACCTGCCTGCCCCTTCCCCGCCAGGACCCTGCTGCCCAAGCTGATTCCCTCTGGCGCAGGCCGGGAGTGGCTGGAGCGGCGACGGGCGACCATCCGGCCCTGGGGAACCTTCGTGGACCAGCAGCGCTTCTCTCGACCCCGCAACCTGGGCGAGCTGTGCCAGCGCCTCGTACGCAACGTGGAGTACTACCAGAGCAACTATGTGTTCGTGTTCCTGGGCCTCATCCTGTACTGCGTGTGAGCGTCCGTCCCACCCGGTCCCGCCGGGTCCCGCTGCACCCCCGCGCCTGTCCCTCCCTTCCCGTCCTGCCAGATGGCCCCGCCCCCACGGCGAAGCTCTGGGTCCCTAAAGGGCCAGGTCTCTACTCCCCCGCCCACAGGCAGGCCAAGATACAGTGTCCCCACAAGTAACAGCCGTCCTCGGCCTCCACCCTCCAATGTACAAGGCCAGGCCGCCCTGGCTGGCCCATCCCACACTCCTAACCTCTGCTTCTCTGCACTCTTCCTTCCTCCCCAGGGTGACGTCTCCCATGCTACTGGTCGCCCTGGCTGTCTTCTTTGGCGCCTGTTACATTCTCTATCTGCGCACGTTGCAGTCCAAGCTTGTGCTCTTCGGTGAGAGAATCCCCTGCCCAGATGGATCCCTAGTCCCTCAGATCATGTTCTCTTGGAATGAAAACCTCAGACCCCAAACCGAAGTCCTTGGAACCTCAGTCTGCCCATGCCTGGATGTACACTAGATCCAACTATCCCGAGCTGTAAAATCTCAGCCACACCCGATCTTCACATCCAGTGTCAGCTCCCCAAATTGCTATTCTCCAAACCCAGAATGAGATGCCCCGGAGCCCACCCATCACCAGGCTCCTCTGAGATGAACCTACCCCTTTCCATTTCCTCCTCCCTAACTTCTGCGGGAAGCACCCGCCGCAGGTACTCGCATTGGACACCAGGTGGCGACCTCATGCAGGCCTAGGTCTGTCCTGGTTCCTTTCAGTGTTTTCCTGCAGTGGGACCAGGAAGCTCTTGACTTCTCAAAGAGGAAGCCAGTGACTCATATGGCCCCAGAATGCTCCTGAGAAGCATGGAAAGAAAGATGCCAGGAGAAATTCCACCCAGGGGAAATCCCAGATTTGCCACAGGGACAGAGATTTGGAATCAATCAGACAGAGCTAAGACAGGGTCCTCCGGGGGCCTTCGAGTTATGTTCATAAGAAAGATGGGCTGGCATGGAAGGATATGGAAGGAGCCCTTGAATCACAGCCACAAATTGTGGTCACCACAACATGCAGACCAGACCTTCCAGTCTTACATGAGAGGCCAGAAAGCTGCATTTTAGGGGAGGTCATTCAGTGTATTTGTTGGCCACAAACCAGATAGATTCATGTGAAACATCTCAGAGAACACATCCTCAAGTCAGACTTGGCCCTGAGGCCACCAGTTTGAGACTTCTTCCTGTGAGTGCAGGAGGGTCCTGGGCTAGGGAGCAGGAGCTGAGGCCTTACAGGGCAGATGGGGCTGAAGGGCAGGGGCAGGGTCCGAGGAAGGCTTATTATATTCTGTGGGTCAGGGGACACTGGGAAAACAGGATGGGTCTGGGACACAGACAGCATGAGGAGTCTGGGTTCGATCCTGAAGCTTCCTGGGCTTGTGACTCCAGATTGTTGGGGGGCAGCAGGGGTCACTCTGGGAGAGTGCACCACTGAGGGTCAGGGTTGGAACAGCTGTCCATTGTTGTCCGCCCTCAGGCCGAGAGGTGAGCCCAGCCCATCAGTACGCTCTGGCTGGAGGCATCTCCTTCCCATTCTTCTGGCTGGCTGGTGCGGGCTCGGCTGTCTTCTGGGTCTTAGGTGAGTGTGGGATCTTGGTGGGGAGACAGGTGAGGGAGCGTGGCCTGAACTGCCAGTTCTGCAGGAGCCACGCTGGTGGTCATCGGCTCCCACGCTGCCTGCCACCAGATCGAGGCTGTGGATGGGGAGGAGCTGCAGATGGAGCCCGTGTGAGGTATCTTCCAAGACCTGCTGGCCTCCTGGGCGAGCCGCCCCATCCCTGTCCACCCCTGTCAGGGACCATCCTGCTGCCCCCTGCTCCCATCGCAAGCCCAGGGAGGGGCTCCACCTTTAGAAATAAAGCTGTTACAGTTGCCATTCAGCAAATATCTCCCTGTGTCTTCTGTGGGCCTCCGTGGGCTTTCTCTGGGATGCTGGGAGTGCTGCAGAGAAGCGGAAAACAATAATCAGAAAACTTAAATAAAATATTGTAAGAGGTCAAGTATTAAGAAGGAAAAGAGTTGAAAAGGGAAGCTGGGCATTGTAGCACACATCTGTAATCCCAGTACTCAGGAGGCTGAAGCAGGAGGATCAGTAGATTGAAGCCAGCCTAGGCTGCACAGTGAGACAGTATTTTAAAAAAGAGATTTGAAGTTGAGTGATGTGCTAGGACTCAGGACATCATGCATAGTTGTCATAGGACTGTGATTATCATGACAGGACACAAAATCAGGAGGCCCATGGGGCCAAGTTAAAGCAAACCAGGCTCAGCTCTCCTATTGTGGTCACACAAGCTGAATTCCTCCCTCTAGCAATGAACTATGACTCCAGACTCCCAAGAGGAGGGCTGGGCTCCATGTAAAGAATTTTGTTTGCACAAGCAGTGTAGACACAATGAGCCACACTTGTCAGGGAATGAAGGGCCTCCTGAGTCCAAGTTCCCAGACACCAGCCAGGAAACCAGCTGTGCACAAAGGCCTGTCCAACGACAGTGACCTCAGGTGGCTGTGTTAATGCTCTTCCTGCCAGGCATGGTGGCACATGCCTGCAGTGCTGGCACTCTGGGAGGCTGAGGTGGGAAGTGTGCAAGATCAATTCCAGCCTGGGCACTTAGTGAGTTAGCGAGATTCTGCCTCAGAAATTAAAAAGGGCTAGAATGTAGCTCAATGCATAGGCCCTAGGTTTAATCCCCAGTACATTGCGGGGGGGGGGATTACACCCATGACTTGGGTTCTCTTTCTGTGATGCACTGGCGTAGATGCTGGGTGGGTAGCAATGCCATAAATGAGGGTCTGTCCTCCTGGAGTTCACCTCTGTGGGAGAAGTTCATGATACACAAGCAAACCAGGCTACCAGCAAGAAACCCTCAGGTTTGTCCTGGTTCCTTCTGAGACCAATCAAAAGGGGCCAGGTGGGTGAGACTAGAAAGTAGGTGGGGGAACGGGTGGGCCCACTTGAAATGCAGAGGGAGGGCCTTCCTGGGGAATGGGGAGCAGCTTGCACCTTGGAAGTCTGGAGCGAGAGTATTCTGGCCAAAGGGAGCATCAGGTGCAAAGGCCCCGATATCAGGTCTGTTCAGTGACACGACAGTGTCATTGTCATTGTGGCTGAGGTGAAGGGAGTGAAGAGAGCAGCCTTAGGAGGTGATGTTGGGGAGGATACTGGGCCAGATGGCATAGGACCCGCAGGCCTAGGTGAGTTCTTTGGATTTTTACTTAAGGTAATGTGAGACCACAGAAGAGTTTTGTCCAAGGAAGAGACAGGGTCAGATGGGGAAACTAGAATGTCCCTCTGGGGTTGTGTGGAGGATCAACGGGAGGGGTGAGATCAGGGAGGATGACCCCAAACTGGGGAAGATGAGGTGGGGATGTGGGGTGGAGAGAAAGGACAAGAAGACAGATTCTAAAAGAGGAGGAACAGGTTTCCAGCCTCAGGTGTCTTGGAAAGACCAGGAGGCCTGGTCTTGGTCCACCCAGTACCTGAATAGCCAACTAAGGACGCTCTTCCTGCATCAGCCACCAGAGAGCAGACAAGTGCTTCCTCTGCCCTGGATCCTGAGGGAACCAGGAACTGACTCATCCTAGGAGAGAGACCACAGCAGGTTGCGAACCTGGGGAGCTTGAGACCCAGTCAAGTCACCTAGGTCTACTCAAAAGCCAGGGTCCCCAAACCAGTTTGGGGTGGCATAGGGTATTTTGGTGTCTCAATGCCAGTGTTCCCTGGAGAAACAGTCTCCATGCCCATCTCTGTCTGCATATGGTCCAGCTGTCTTGTTTGGAGGTGATTGAGGCCACAAACTTGAGGTAGATTGTGGGGGCATAGGGGGATGTTGAGACTCGGACCAAAAGCCAAATCTGGGAGTAACATTATAGGTCCTTAATTCTGGTAGTGGTTCATTGAGATGCCGAGACTAGAAGCTTATGTTGGGGTTGTGAAGACTGGGGGCCCACTTCCCCATCTGTCTCCTCCAAATAATCTCAGTTTAAAAGTATCTGCTTTGGTTCGGTTGCCCGCCTTGGAAGCACAAGGACGCGAGTTCAATCCCCAGTACCAAAAAAAAAAAAAAAAATCTGTTGGGATAACTAAAAAAAAAAAAAAAAAAAAAAAAAAAAAAAAAAAAAAAAAAATCTGCTTTGGGATAACGAAAATGAAGGCTTGTTCTTTGATTGGGGGGACAAAAACTAAAGGTCTATTGGTTGTCTATTTTGGGGAGAGTGCCTGGGGTCCAATTGGCTGACAGAGAGTTACATAATGGGAATCCAGTTGTCTTGTTTGGGCTGACAACACTGGCTTCTGGTTTGGGGTAATAGAATGGAATCTATTACCAAATTTGAGAGGAGTAGTCAGAAGACACAGACTAGGATTCATGAGGCCAGAGTGTCTGGGTGGCAAAATTTGAGTGGTGAGGCAGAGAATCCAGGATCTAATTTTGGGATGAAAGAAGGATGTCCCTTTGGCTGGAGATGACCCCATGGGGCGTGGTTATGACCTTGAGATAGAATAGATAGGCTATGCTGTCTAGTTTGGAGCTGCAGTGGTTGGAGTTCTGAAGTTCTGGCTGGAGACAGACCCTGAGGGTCCGGTTGTATAATTTAAGACAACAGAGACTAGGGAGGAAGTCTCATTACCTCATGTGAAGTTATATTAACTTGGGGGATCTCATGTCAGTGTGGGGGATGCCCGCCAATCTAGCTTGGGGTTAAAGACACAGTGGGTCCAGCTGTCACATTTTAAGTGACATGAACTGGAGTTGTTTGAGGTGTCAGAGATGAGATCCCGTCTGGGCTGGGATGATAAGGTCTACTTTAGAGTGTGTTATGGTTCAGATGTAAGATGCCCTCCAGAAGTCTCACGTTCAGAGGTGAAGTTTTTGGAAGGTGATTGGATTATAGGGGCATTATACTTATCGATGGGTTAATTTGTTGATGAGTTCCTATACTGTTAGGAGGTGGGTCCTGATTGGAGGGATGGGTCACTGGGAGTCTGATCTGGAAGGATGTATTATTTCTATCTCTTCCTTTCTCTTTCTCTACTTCTGGCTGGCATGAAATGAGTACCTGTCCTTGCTTTGATGTTCCACCATGCTATTTCTGCCTTGGAATGACCCAACAATGGACTGAACCATTTGAAACCATGAGCCACAATATATCCCTCTTCTTCTAAATTCTGGGTGTCACAAATTTTGTCCCTGAGACGGGAAAGAGACTAATACAATTTGGGGTAGCAATTAGGGGTGTAATTGTCTAGTTTTGAATGATCAAGACTGGGAGTCCTGGCATCACCTTGGGACAAACGGGATCTAGCCTCTTTTAGGGTGACAGCTAGGTTAAAAAACTGAAATTTACAGTTTCGGATACCATATCGAGGGCTCAATGATCAGTCTAGAGCAAGAGAAATTGGGGTCTTCTGTACTCCATAGGGCTATCTGAGACTTGTACTCTGGTTATCTTACTTGGAGTGATAGAGACCTGAAGGCTAAAGGTCCAACTTGGGATTATAGACACCAAGAAAATATTTTCTAGTTTGGAGTGATGACACTGGGGTTTAGGGACTTGGCTTAGGGTGATGGGAAATAAGTTGGCTATCTAAGGGTGCAGAAACTATAGGTCTGGTTCCTGCTTGATTTACTGGGGCCTTGCTGAATGGCTGAGGGTAGATAAAGGAGGTCTAGGGGTCTAGTTTGGGACAATCAAGTAGGAGTTTGTTTATCTAGCTTGGGGTGGAGGAGACTGGGAACTTAATTGTCCACTTTGTAATGGCAGAGGCAGGTCCCAAGGTATATCTGTGGTAACAAAAACTGAGGGTTTGTTACTTAGTTTTGTGGGATGAACCTGAAGTACCAAGGAATATTGGGGTTGATTGACTCTGGAAGCTGGATGCCTTGTTTTGTGGGAGAGATTAGGGTCCCTGGGTACATTTGGGATGATGGAGACTGGGGTCTGGTTGTCTACTTTGGAGGATGTTGTGCTTAAGCCTAAGTGTCAGCCTGATTGGAGTGAAAGCCACCTGGGGATTTAGTAAAGTATAATTCTACATGTGTCTGGGTGGGTCATGGAGGCATGACCTTGGGTACTATATAAAGTCCTTGGCCTCTTCCTCTCTGGTACTGTTACCCTGCTGTGCTTCCTGGCTGCCATGAACAAAGCATCTTTGCTCCATCATGCCATTCTTACATGATTTTTCTGCCTTGGAGCTAGCTGAACGTGGACTGAATCCCCTGGGTACATGAACCAAATTAAACCTTTCCAACTTTAAGTTGTCTGGTATTGTGTCCTAGCAATGGAAAAGGTAACTAATATGGGGTCCTTAGATTCATTTTGGGTAAAATAATGGGGTCCAGTTGGATAGGTTGTTGGACAGAGTCTGGCATCCAAGGACATTTTTTTGGTGCTAGATGGTTAAGCCTGGAAATTTAGTTGTATAATACTGGTTGGGAACTGGATGCTCAAGTTGCTAATGCGTGGTAACCTTTGCCTATCTTGATGTCCCAGACATTATCCACTTATTGTCATGTTTGGGGGGAATACAGCTTCTCAGATCCAGGTGACAGAGACGGCCCACCTTGGGGTACAGAGATTGGGAGTGCAGCTGAAGATGGTGAGGCTGAAAAATTATCTTTTTAAATCTGAGGTAGCAGGAAATGTCACTCCAGTCTTCTTCCTAAGCCTGAGGTCTTGGTGCCTGCTCATAATGGCTGAGTCTGAGAGTACTTATACTTGAGTATTCCTGGGGCAACTGAGTCAGAATTACCCTTGCATCAAGGTGTGGGGTGTTGAATAAATGTAGACCTCCTATTTAAGTATAGCCAGGGGAATGAATCCCTGTTTGGGGTTACCAGATATACCAGTTAGTCTTAACTGTCAATTTTACTGGATTAAGTTACTCTTGGAGAGATGATAGGATCATGGGGACACTACACTCATCAGTGGATTATTCCACTCATGTTTGAAGCTGAATGTGCTGGTAGGAGGTGGGGCCAGTTGGAAGAATTGGTTGCCAAAGGCATGCCTTCAGAGGATATGTCTCTCGTGGATGCTCTTCCCCTCTGTTCTGCTTCATGGCCACCAGGAAATGAGGAGCTATCATCTACCACGCCCTAAAACCATGAGCCAAAATAAACCTCTCCTCCAATAACTTGTAGGTATCCCCACAATGGGAAAACTGACCAAGTTAGAAAATTGGTACCAGCAAAGTAGGATTTTTGCTGTGGCTATACCTGACCATGTGATTCAGAAACCCATTTTACAAGAGGAAATTGGAAAAGCTTGAAGAAGTGGGCTAGACAAAGCCTAAAGTGCTATGAGCAGAGCCTGATGGGAAATTCTTGTGGAAGCTCCAAAGACCAGAATACTGATGGAAATGTGGGCAGTAACGGCCAGGCTCGTGAGGGTTAAGATGGGAACAGGGACTTAATTGGGATTCGGACTAGAGGCCTTATGTGGCAAAAAAATTGTATTCATTTTGTCTGTGTCCTAAGACTTGGGTAAGGCTGAATGTAAAGGCAGACTAATTTATCTGGCAGAGGAAATTTTAAGGCAGTCCAGCATTCCGGCTGTAGCATGGGTACTGTTGGCTGCTTTTAGCCCAATTTATAGTGAAAATTAGGAGCGAAAATCATGGCAGAAAGATTTGAAAACCTAAATTTTGGCCCAACAAAGAAACAGGTGTAAAGTTGAGGCCAAAGGAGGTCTGGTTACTGAAGAGATTAGAGCCATTAAAAAATACCAGGTATGTTGAACTGGGGCAAGGAGAAAGGCCCTACCCATTGCAGGTGCAAGGGTGCAAATGTGTAAACCTTCCATTTGACAAGCGAGCTTCTGGGCCTTCTGCTTTCACCTAGGGAATTTGTTCCTCCAGGATTGATTTCATTGATTTTCAGGATTGTTCTCAGCTATCTGAGAACTCACAAGCCGCTGCAGGTATGGCCCAAAGGAGCTTAGCTACTACACAAGTTGGTAGCAAGTTTTAGCATTATTCACACTGTGCTTGTGTTTGAGACATGCAGAATGCAAGAGTTTTGGGGTAATGGAGGCTTCTACACAGATTTCAAAGGAAGGCATTGGAGACCAGACAAAAATGCATCACAAGGTCAGAGCCCCTGCTCGGAGCCCTAAAAGGACCATGCATGGAGGTATGAGAGTGAGGCAGAAGCTGCACTGGAGACCTCAGGAAGTTGAAGATGCCAGGAAGATGGAACAACTTTCAAAGAAAGCTGAGCCAGTGAACAGAACCAGCACCAGAGAGAGGCCATGTGGGCTAAAACTAGCAAGGCTGTAGGGGGCGGCTGCCCAAGTCGGTTGGAGTTTGCATAATTCTGCCCGGTGGCCTGGATGCTGGATATGAAGCTCCAGGAGTTAATGTTACAAAGATATACTAATAATCAAAAATAAAATTTAAAAATACAAAAAACAATACATCTGTGCAAGGACATGGAGAAAGAAGAATCTCTCTCCACTGCTGGTGGAACACAAGTAGTACAGCCACTGTGGAAATCAATATGGCGTTTCCTCAAAAGACTAAAAATAGAATTATCAGCTATACCACTCCTTGGTATATACCCTAAGGAATTAAAGTCAGCATACTATAGGAATACCTGCATATCTATATTTATTGTACCACAATATACAATAGCCAAGGTAAGGAACCAGCCTCGATGCCCATCAACAGATGAATGGATAAAGAAATCATGGTACATATACACAATTGGGTATTATTTAGCCATAAAGAACAAAATTCTGTCATTTGTAGGAAAATGAATGGATCTGAAGACCACCATGTTGAACAAAATATAATTGTTTTTTTTTTTTTTTTTTTTTTTTTTTTTTTTTTTTGTACCAGGAATCAAACTCGGTACCTTGCACTTGCCAGGTAGGTGGCAGCACCGCTGAGCTAAATCCCCAGCCCAGTATTGAATGTTTTAACATGTGGAATCTAAAACTAAGAAGGTAAGGTGCTCGCTTTGGCAGCACATATACTAAAATAAGAAAGTAGAAGGGAGACCATTATTAGATAAGAGGAGAGGCATAAGGGGAAGGAGAGTGTAAGAGTGGGAAATGGGAGGATGGATCGGACCAAAATATATTATACACCTATATAAATATATTGTGTGCACTGAAATTCCCCAAAAATGTGAAACTAGGGGGAGTACAAGGCAAGGAAGGAGTGATGGGGATGATCAAAGTATGTTATGCACATGTACAAATCTGCCAAAATGAAGCCCATTACTCTCTATAGCCATTTTTTTTTTTTTAAAGAAAAAGGCTGGAGTGTAGCTCAGTGTGTTCAATCTCTAGTAGAAAAAAAAAAGAACTGAGTTTGAGGTGACCAGAGTTCCTCCTGCCATGTTATGGGTGCCTGGGGACAAGCTTCCTGATGTGGGTGGCACAGAGCTGGCAGTTCACAGCTGGGGACTCAGTGTCTAGGTCAGAAGTGACTTCCTGTGGAGTTTCACCTGCCAAGTTTGCTGTGGGTCTGGAGACTCACCTGCCAAATTTAGGGCACCTGGCTTTAGGGTTGGTAGATGATGACCACGTTTGGCAGCTCAGGCGCTGATTCTGGAGTCTTGTTGATTACTTTAGAGCTGACTACAGTTTAGAGTTCTCATGCCTAGTTTGGGGATCACTGAGCCTGGGTCCCAGACCCTGGTTTAGGGGGAATCTGAGCCTAGGAGGCCAGATGCTGAGTTGATGGAGGCTGTGGAGTTGGGATGCCCAGTTTGAGTCACTCTCTGGCTTCACTGACTGTGGGGCCCTGAAAGTAGAGGCAAAGGAGACTGTGGCCTAAATCCTAATTTGAGGACCGACCGAGGCTGGGGCCCTAAATCCAACTTACAGGTAATTTACCATACTGTCAAGATGGAGGTTCTGGGGCTGCAAGCTCAGATCCCTCGTTTGGGGTGAGTGAATTTGGGGCTTAGATTCCAAGTAGGTCTTGTTTAAGAATAGTTGAGGCAAACACAAGTATCTAATTTAGGGGTTAAACTAAAGTGGGCCTAACATACACTGCCCAGATGTTGAGAGTAGGGTGACCAATGTTAGAGTACAAATGCCTGTTGTCAAGTTGAGTGGTGGCCACTTCGGTGGGCCCAGTGTCAGCAGACACTTCTGGGGGGGGGGTTATTCATGGAGGGGCATTTGGAATGAGGTAACTGGATGCCTAGTTTTGGGGTTACTAGTTATGAGTTCCATTTGATTTGGGGCTCGCTAAGCCTCAAGATCCTTCGAGGTGCCTGCTGTTCCTTGTAGCTCATTTAGGCACGATGGAGTTTGCCTGATTTGGGGTGTCCGAGGCTAACCCTCCAGATGCCTAGTTAGAGATAAGTGATAGGAAGACCCAAATCCCGGGAGCCCAGAGGTCTAAATTAGGAGTGGCTTAATTTCAGGGTCTTGGTACCTAGTTCAAGATGGACTGATGTGGGGGCTCTGGCACAGAAGTTAGACTTTAATACCAGGGAGGCCTGAAAGCTTATTTTACTTTGGAGGTGCTGAACCTGGAGGTCCAGCTGCCTCCACTGCTGGTATCTCCATGTCAGGTGTCTGCTGGGGAGGCTGTAGTGGTGAGCAGGTTGGAGGTGTGGGAGGGTCCTGTTGCTTATTTCAGGGGTGGTTGTGAATCTATACATGTGCGGTGGAACTGAACGAGACTCTGGACATAGCTAACAAATCTGGAGGGGACGTTGGGTCCCTGATGCTACTATGCTGAGTCATTGGTCTGAGATCCAGAAGCCTACTCTGGGGAATTAAAGCTAGTTTTGGTCATGTGACTGTGAGAGTCCACATCTTTTATTTTTGAGCGGTGGGGGAAAATCACTGAATCAGCCTAGGGGTCCAGAGGCTTGGTTTGGGTATCACGTGTGGCTGCTGTACCAATCTTTTGGCTTAACACAGCATAACTTTATTCTCAAAGTTCTAGAGACTTAAAGCCCCAAATTAAGGTAGGACAGGTCCCTGAGCTTCTAGGGGCTCCCAGGGTCACTGGGCCTGTGGCTTCAGCCTTCTGGCCTCAACCTCACATGGGTTTCTGCTCCTCTCTCTGTCCCTGTCTTCTCTTCTGTCCTTTATCGGGACACACATCAGTGACTTTAGGGAAATCCAGGATGACCTAACTCAAGAGCCTTCCCTTAGCTGGGTCCAGTGGCAGAGGCCTGAAATCCCAGCTACTTGGGTAACTGAGGCCAGAGGATTGCAAGTTCCATCCCAGCCTGGGCAATTTAGCAGGACCTTGTCTCAAAATAAAACTGAAAATAGCTAGGGCTATAGCTCAGTGGTAAAGCACCCCTGGGTTTGATCCTCAGTACCACACACACACACACACAACCTCTTAATTACATCTGCAAAGACCCTTCCCTAATAAGCTCATATTAGGAAGTTCTGAGGCTTATAAAGTACGCATATCTTTTTTCTTCTGATGCTCAAGATTGAAACCAGGGCTTCACACAAGTTAGGTAAGTGTACTACTGCTGAGTTACATTACCAGCCCTTTTTATTTTGAGAAAGGGTCTCACTAAATTGGTAAATTGCCCAGGCTGACCTCAAACTTTGGATCCTCCTGCCTCAGCCTCCTAGAGTGCTGGAATCACAGGTGTGCACCTGCCAATCCCATATTCTAGTTTGAATGTGATGAGAAAGGGAGTCACGTGATGAATGGAATGCTAGGGCCCATCTGTCCAGATCATGGGTAATTTACTACAGGTTCCTGATGCTTGTTAGAGTTCAATGAGGAAAGCCTAATTTAGGTGTGCCGACTTTTATGCCTAATTTTGGGGTAACTGCCTAATTTCTGGGTGACTCAGGAAATTACTAGTACTTAGGGAGGACTAAGCCAAGGCCCATTTCACTTATGTCATGAATGCTGTTGTCTGGAAGCCTTGTGTAGAGATGAGCTGGACCAGACCCAGAATCCTCATTTGGGGTGTGTGGGACTGGGGGTACAGTGTTCATTTTTTGTGGGTTTTTTGTTTGTTTGTTTGTTTTGGAACTGGGGATGGAACTTAGGTCCTTGCCCTTGCAAGGCAGGCGGCAGCATCACTGAGCTAAATCCTCCACCAGATTGATTGATTGATTGATGATTGATTTGAGACAGGGTCTTGCTATGTAGTTAAGGGTGAATTTGAACTCACTGTATATAGGCCAGGATGGTCTCCAGCTGGTGTCAGTCCTCCTGCCTCAGCCTCCAAGGGCTGGGGTTAGAGGCCCAGGTGTCCTGGTGTTTCCGACTCTGGGTTGTATTCACCACGTGATGTGGGATGATCCAGCTGGAGGTCAGATGGGGGACTTGGGGGCTCACAGGTCTGACCTGTGGGTATTTATACTGCTCCTTTAGGGGAATCTGACATTGGGCCCGGCAGTGCTAGAGACCTGGGCCCAAAATTTGGAGGCGGGGCATCCCAGCCCACTGCTGACCTCCAAGGCTGAGCTCCTCCTGGGAGTGACCCGAACATAAGACGTTGGGCGACGACTTGGGGGGAGGGTGCCGCACGCCTAGGCCGCGTGGTCCTGGCGAGGACTGCGAGGGTCGCGCAGGGTGAGGCGGG